AGAGGACCCGGCGCCGATCCAGAATTTCCTTCGGGAACTGATCATTGACGCTGAAATCTTTCCCTTTGAGCTCTCTTCCGTGACTTTTAACAAGATCCTTCTGCTTAAAATGTTCAAATTTAGCCACGATGGGAAAAGGTCTTCTGCTGTCCCCTCTTTTAGCTCCAAGGCGATGTACCCGGTGAAATGTGATGTTTTTTACCGTTTCTTCGGGTATCTTCATTTCTGTCTAGAGAAAGTTCTTTATTGTTTGCTCGCAGTTCTCCGCCCCTCCCGCCTGCTCCGGCAGGCCTGCGAACACCAGATTATCCCTCATGCTGCGGGCCTGAAGGTCCAAAACTGTCTCCTTCAGAATCTTGTTGTCCTGGGCGATCCGCATCATTCCTTCTTCCAGGGAAGAAACGGACTCCTGCAGAGACGCGTTCTCAGCAGCGAGCCGCTCAACCTGCTCCTGGCTGAACTCCAGAGATGTTCGGAGGTTCTGAAACTCCTGGTGTAGAACCTCGAGCAGATGAAGTCGCCCCTCAAATCCCAGAAGCCGTTTATCAATAGAATCTAATAATTCTAATATGTCCTTCCGGGGAGATGAGGCCTCAGGCGAGTCCTGAGGACGGCTCCTCTTGGTCCCAGCAGGTGTTTCAGCCTCAGCTGCTGATTTCTTCGGACCCATAACGAATAACTCAAAAACTTCGTCAATATAATTTAACAAACTTTCTAAATTTCCTTCACTTACCTCCAGATTGAGTGAGTTATACTTACCAGATGATATTTTCATTGTCAGTAGTTAAATTAGGCAAAAATGCATCTAAATTGTTTGTGGATGTTTGCTAACGAGCTGCCATCAGCTTCAAACGCTGCTGTGTCTGGTGATCGGCCGTCAGCGCATGCGCATCTCACCCATCCCACGTCTTTCCACACAGGTCTCTGTAAGGGCGTGCTTTAACTGATGATACCATGTCGTACTCAAGCTCGGACAACAGATATCTGCTTCTTGTGGGGTTTATTCACAAACATTCACACAAGTGATAAATAAGCTAAGCTAACCAAGTAACCATGGTAACACCAGTACTGTTACCATGTCTTTGCCAGAAGCCAGGTAATCAGCTGAAAGATACAGAAGTAAACAACCACACAACATCAGTAACACACGCCTATACGTTCAGTACATTTACTTTTATTTATAGACTTAACACGGTTAAACATCAGCACATAGAGACTCACCAGCTTGGCCTCACCAGAAAAAACAGCGATGTCCACAAAAATAAGACTAGCAGGTGGAATATATGAGCTGGAGTTACCACATAATATCCCAGATTCACGTAGATCACACCTGAAATAAAGTGGTAATTTAAACGCTGGTGCCTGGCTGGCATAGGCGTCATTTTAACCGGGGACGCCGGGGACATGTCCCTGGCAAAATTTGTGATTGGCAGCTGTGTCCCCCCCACTTTAAAAAAAGCCTGCTGATGAGGATTTTTGTTTTACCAGCTCAGATCTTATACCAGGGGTCGGCAACCTGTTCCCATCAAAGAGCCATTATTACCCGTTTCCCACAGTAAAGAAAACACCGCAGTAGCCGCAGCGTTGTGGGCGGGGCCTACCCTCAGACAGCAGAGAGCTGCTCACAACCAGGTGACAGCAGCAGGTACCAGTCGCTCGCATGGGCGTCGCACCCGTGGGGGATTCAACGCCCACACTTTTCCAGCTGTTTTGCTCACCTCCACACCAGTCTGGTTTCTTTATGTCACACTCACTCTGTTTGCCTCATCTCCTGCTTCACCTCCCTCTTCTGACAGCCGATGTCGGGTTTCCAGGAGAGCAGAAGAGGGAGGGACGGAAGAGCTCGACTGAATTCATAATTTTACATCTTGACATTAGCTGTACAAAGTCTGAGTTTGATAAAGTGAAGAACAACAATTTGCAGAGGTTTATAACAGGCGCGGTGCCAGGTTTTCATTTTTGGGTGGGCCACGGTAATTTTGGACGGACCTTAATAAGCAGTGACTTAAGTGAAGCAGGCAGGTCGCTCTAGAAAATTTCGTTTAAAATACGTCATAAATGTTTTACCCCGTCATTTTTATTTATAAAATATGAAGTAAAAACTCCCAATTTAATTTTCATTCATTTGTCATTAATATGTAGTCTACACCCGTGCGTTAAGTGGACCATCTTTCAGTAAAAGCAAAGCATCCAGCCCATCTCTCCAAATACGTAAAATGTGCACCACAGCCGTTAGGCGCGCCGCGCGCACCGTCACCTACATCAGCCCAGACAAGAGCAGAGCAACTAGAATAGAGGATCATTCTCAAGGCCGGCTCTGGGTAATTTGGTGCCCAAGGCGAGAGTGCCCATTTGCCCCCCCCCCCCCCCCCCCCCCCTCACCCAAACCCAAGTCCACACATTGGAAAAAACAGCTCCACAGTTATTCCTTAGTTACTAATTTTTTATTTTAAATATTCACACAGCAACTCTTTAAAGTCAACAGCCTGAAGAATAAATGTAAGCTTGAAAGATAAGTAACCTGAGAATATTACAATAACCAACAACTCAAAATGTTGTGCAAATGTCATTGGGGGGGGGGGGGGGGGGATGCAAAATCAACAACTGTGCAATCAAAAGCAAAACTCAAACATCAAAGTGTCATCATAAAGAAAGTTCTACTTTCCATTTTGTTCAACTGCTGTGGCCAGTCAGCAGGATCCATGGGGCCAGCAGCTCATACATGTTCACAGACATCTGTTGAAGCTGATGATGGTGTCTCTTCAGGCTGTTGGATTGGAGCACTGAGTCTGCTGGTGTGGTGTTGGGTTCTTCTTCTGTGAGAAAATAAACACACACACACACACACACACACACACACACACACACACACACACACACACACACACACACACACACACACGCACGCACACACACACACACACACAGCAACTTAACCCTCTGATGCATGAATTAAGAACAGTGCCACTTTCACATTCAATATTCCTCAGTCATGTGCAGTGATGCTTTTCACTATTTTTAATATTACTAGACTTTTTATTTTATTGATCTTTTTTAATCTGTTCTATGAAAACATGAATAAAATTATCAAAAACAGGTGGAAGTGAGTGCATCCATGGGGAATATTTGAAAAAACTTATGTCTCACTGTCAGGTGCTCTTCAGCATCAAATAAATTGTAGAATATGAGGAAGAAGAACCGGTGATCTGAGGCACTCTGAGGTTTTCATTTATTAAACAAGGAAACACCGACACATTTCGGTACGACCTTCTTCAGGGCATAAACCTTTATACCTTGAAGATGACTCACTAATGTCACAAAAACTAACGTCCATCCTTTTTTACAAATTTACAGCCTAACTGGCAACAACATCTTAAGGAGGCAATTTCAGATGTGTATGTTGAGATTATTTAATATTGTCAATGCTAAATCAATGCTGCACTGATTGTGCCAAAAACAAGTGTCTGGTGTGGATTTAAATAAATTAATTTTGCATATCGATATATGTGATAAGCCGTTTAATTTGAAAAAGCCCGTTTCTACTGCTGATTACAAATAGCCTAACAAGTAACTTACTCACCTGGTTCTAGATGCTGAGATTGTAGCTCAGTAAATGTGCTGCTGCTGCGTGATGCCTGGATGAAGACGCTGCAGCATAAACAAGAAAGAGACGGCATAAGTTCTCACTCCCCGCCGGGCCCGGAGGCAGCGGGGGAGTCCCCGCCAAGGCCGCGGCGGCGCCGCCCGCCCGATGTTTCGGACAAAGTTGAAAATTTGCTACACCCACACCTAACGTTCTTCTGATATACAAATATAAAATTCATATTGTATGCGTACTTAAAACTTGAAACAACGTTCATAAAAGGCTGCAATCAAGCTCCAAAAACCAGTAAAAAAAATCTTACATTCTTCATCATCACAGTGAGAGTCAACATTGTCTCACTGCATCTGGACACGACGATTCAAAAGTAAAATGAATGGGTTAAAGTTACAGATACTGTATTGTGTGTGTAAACAGCTAGCGAGGGTCCATCCGTGGACCGTGCGTGGCAGGAGAGGCAGTTAGCTACAATGCTAACGCAAAAAGTTCCTTTGCAAAACTTATAAAGTCTACATACCTCTGCTTTGGGCCCGTTTTTATTCTTCTTCCTTCCTTCGCTTTTGGAATGCTGATCCCGATGGCTTAGGTGTTCATTTCATCGTAAAATATCAAACGATAAAACACGACGACAACAGGATGTCCTTCTAAAGTGCCACCCACACACGTGATGTATGACAACCTTAACGGTCAAATGTATCGGAGCGGTGGCTCAAGTGGGAGCTCGAAATGCAGCCAGATCATTAGAATTTAAATATTGATGTTCTAATTTCATGTCATTTCAAAGGGGTATTTTGAGTATGTAGAGAGCGCATTTCATATAACAAACATGAATTTAATGAACTTTTTTTTTTTTTTTTTTTTTTGAAATTTTGCGCCCTATCCATCAGATGGCGCAGGCGGCCGCCTGTGTCGCCTGTCGACAAAGCCGGCCCTGATCATTCTGTCTGGATGTGGATTGAGATTAGATTTTACAGCAGCCTGATCATCATTTAAATAAAACCATCACCTGTCTTCTAGTCCATGCTATCAGCATTATTTTAATTGGTGTGTGTGTGTGTGTGTGTGTGTGTGTGTGTGTGTGTGTGTGTGTGTGTGTGTGTGTGTGTGTGTGTGTGTGTGTTTTCCACTTCCAACGCTGGTCTAACCAACCAGACCAGCATGTCCAGTAACATATTAATGTTACAATTAAACAGTTTCACTTCATGTAGGCTAGGAACGTTTCACCTGTCGTGGCCCGACCGCTTCTGCTCCACATAAACTTTGTGCGTGATCAAATGTCTCTACAGGTGCTTTCTGCACTGCTATTCTGTCTCAGACTAGATGCGTCATGCGTCTCCATATTATAATATGGACACGCATGACCAGTGTTAGGAGTAACGCCGTTTAAGTATAACGGCGTTTCTAACGGCGTTCTTTTATAGGTAACGGAATAATCTAATTAATTACTTTTCCCACCGTTGCAACGCCGTTACCGTTACTGGGGACAGAACGTTGTGCGTTACTATGTGCTTGTCGAACGTTGAGCAGCAGTGTGAGGCTTTCCGACCGCCACACTTCAGCTGCAGCCAGGGAGAGAGAGGTGTCGGTAACGCACTTACAAACACGATGATGATTGGCCGGGTGGGCGGAGACCCTCACGGTCTCAGTTGCTGCATTCTGTAGACACAACGGGAATAACTCCGTTTAAAATAACCGCGTTAATAAAAAATATGTCTTTCTGTAACAAGCAAACTAATTAATTACGTCTTCTATCAAAACGTTGTTCCTGTTACTGGTAAGGAAATGCGTGCGTTAAGCAGTGCGGTGTGTTGAAGCTGTCGTCAGCTGATCAGGAGCTAAAGAGGCAGATGTTTAAGAGCATCATGGCCCGTGAAGAACGAGGAAGACGTGATGAATATCTACGGCTGCAGACCCGCAGATTTGTTGCTGCAGCAGCGAATCTGCGGGTCTGCAGCCGTGCCCTTAGCGTGACAGCGGGACGTCCCGAAGGTCCGCTCACCTGTTCACCGCTCAGACGTCCAGATCTTCTACCTTCCTAGATCATCCAGCTGTAACCTGTTCCTGATCGTGTCTCTAGTCCCGCTGTAACACTGATGCATCAGTCTCAAACGACATGGAGCTCAGGTGTTATCAGAACTACCTGTGTGTGTTTACCACCCAGCTTCAGCTCTTCTGTGTTTGGGTCTGACCCATGTTAGTACATTTAAGTCCTCCATCAGGCTTGTGCCTCTTCTAGTGTCATTTTAAAGGATATTTATTTATTTATTTAACCGTTACTAGTAGCAACAGAAATGCTACTAAAAAGACACAATTATGTGAAGCTGTAGAAATTAGAATGCTGTGCAAAATTACATTTATTTCTGTAATTTAACTAGACTGAGAGACCATTTAAAGGCTCGGGAACCTTTACAGGTGTTTCTATTTGCAATTTTAAATTTTAGCTGATTGGGTTTTTGTTAAATATCACACAGTGACCTTTTAATAGTCTAGATTAGTGTAATGTTCCTATTAGTAGTTCCTCCTGTTAAGTGCTTATTTGTTTAAATTATTCAGGTATAAAACATTTGGACATACATTTTATTATGTTCAGTCATTAGTCATTTATATTTTACTATTGTAGTAATTCTTGCATGCTTTAATGAAAAAAGTAACTACGTAGTTACTTTTGTTGGTAATTAGTTACTTTTATGATCTTGTAACACAGTTAGTAACTGAGTTACTTTTTTGACAAAGTAATCAGTAACTATAACTAATTACTTTTTTAAAGTAACGTTCCCAACACTGCGCATGACGCATCCAGAGACGGGAAAAAGCGCTGTTCAGCCAAAGTTTAATAATTTCATAAAAAGAACATTTTTCCAAGCTCATCCATGCGCATCAGTGTGCGTCGGGGTAATTCTTTCAAAACAGCCAGCATCCTTGAGTTTATCCGTCAAAATAAAAGTCCAATATAAATATCTATAACCTGCCATTTAACTGTTTTGCCTTCTTGTGAAGATTGTTGCAAAGAGAAACAACTAAACTTGATTAACCCCAGAGCCACGCGCACTGCGCTGTACGTCGTGACTGTAAATGAGGGGAAACGATTTAATCGGATCCTTTTCTTTTCAACATGGTTTAATGTAAAGTTTCATTCAGTACAAACTTTAGTTACACCAATCTAACGAGACAGAGCCTGGATTTGTATTCTGAACAGTTTAAACATGTTTAAAACGGAGACATGCGTGACACGTCTAAAATTCGCACCTGCTCCGCTATTGTGGAAATTAAACTAACAAGATGAATAACATCAAATTATTTTAGGCACAGACAACATCTCCCACACTTTTGAAAATCTTGCAACGCGCCTGGTCGCTCGTGCAGGTCAAAGTTATCTTTCATAAGAAGATAATCAATAAAACAATTTATATAAAAATGATCCAGAAGTTGTAGTCCGTCTCTGCCTACAATATTTTGATATTTTTCACCCTGTTGGTGGTTTTACTGAGCAGGTACCACTTTTGTCATACGTTTCTTTTAAAAACATGTTTAGACTGTTCAGAATACAAATTCAGGCTCTCAGAACCAGAGCGCATGTGGAAGGTTCCTCCCACTGAAGCGAGAGTTTTCCAAACCCTGTCTCTCAGAGAGACTTGTCACTTAGAAAATGTTCCCTGATTATGAAACTTTGGCTGAATAGTGCTTGTTCCTGTCTCCAATGTGGCGACGCATCCAGGAGCCGTCTGAGGAGAATCCCAGAATCTGACATCCTCCAGCTCAGGAAGCGCATATGATTACGCACAAGCGTGACGCGTCAACCCGGTCTCACAGTAAGACCGGGTTGACCTGTTCAAGTTTACGCAGACAATCTTTACATTTAGAATTAGCATACAGATGTAAAATTAATGCAGTAAAATATAAAGCTTTTTATTTAAATATCCATTCATTATTTTACAAGCACAGAGCATCAGATGGATGGAAGAGCCGCATGCGGCTACAGAGCCGCCGACCCCTGTGCTAGCCTATATTGTCCCCAGCAATTTTTAAGCCCCACTCAAGTGTATGGTTATTGTCCCCAGCAATTCTGAAAACAAACTGACGCCCTTGCTGGCTGGTAAAAAGCCATAACAAAAAACGCTGACACATTAGAAAAATGAAAACCCCACAGACATGACTACGGTGAGAAATTTGGATGCAAAATAAGAAATTGGCAGAAGGCTCGATCCCTACAAGCCAAAGGCCGTAAATCAGACATGTCCACAGCGCAGCAGTTTCAGAGCGGTTTTGTGTGGCCCCCAACCACATTTACATTGTAACACAGTTATACTGTATTCAGATTTTTACTAAATTGCACCTGTTGGACCTATTGTGAGGAGTACAACATTTGAAATTCCATTTGAAAGTTTTGTCTTTTGCATTTTAATTTACAAAAATAACCACATTTTGGTGGCCTGCAAGGACCATTCATTTGATTATGTTGGCGCCTCTGCAGTAGATAATCAAATATGATATGTAGAACTGTGCACAGGTGAAACAACCAGGTGTGGCTCAGGTGGGCTGAATAGAGCTGAGTGAACAGAGGGTGTGTGGAGCATCTGGAAGCTGATGAAGAAACAGATCATGACTTTTGACATCCCATCTGTCTTCAGGTCAGCATAATCTCAGTCCTTTGTTCATGATCTTGACAGCCCAGGGGGCCAACTTTTGGATTTCACTATTGCCCAGGGATGCTTTGACACATTGCCTACCGAGGCCCGTGATTGGGCCACTCTCCCTATTACACCAAAACCCAATTTAATTGATAACCAGTTGCAGCCTAGAGTTTAAAAAGTTGTTTCCCACAGCTGGAGACCAAGAGATTGCAGAGTTTACAACATATTTGTATTTAGTGTTGTTACAAAAAGTGATACGTATGTTTTTTCTCAGACCACAGTACGTTTTCTTGCTCTGAGCTGGATCTCTGATAAATCTGACCTCAAACCATTTTCATCTTCACTTGTGTTTGGGAGCACCACGAGAAACAAACTCTGGAGTCACTTTAGTTCCTGTGGTGAGTTTCTTTTTGTCATTACATGTTAAATTTAACTCCAGATCTCTTTTGAGTTTTTAAATGTGATAATCTTTCTGATCTTTGTCAGTTACACGGGTAATGAAGTAGAAATGACTGGAAACATGATTTACTACCAGGAACAATTTATTTTCATCAGGTTTTATGAAAATTGTCATGTAAACTAGCTCTGTCAACGCTTTTCTTCTATTTCAACCGAAATTCAGACAGCATTTGAGAAGATGACACTCAGTCTTCCCTTTTTGGTTGTTGGCCTGATGGCTTCTACCATCTTCAGTCTGGTCCATACAACTTCTTGGGCTGATTATGAAGATGGAGGTTTTGGACCACCAGCACAACCTAAACCATCTCGACCATCTGGATCAGCTGGACATGCAGGTCACACATCTTCTTCCAGAGCAGAATCTCAGGTTGAATCAGGAGGTCATTACTTATAGGCTAGTGTAACATAGCCGTTACAGACGGGGTACACACACACACACACACACACACACACACACACACACACACACACACACACACACACACACACACACACATACAAACACACACACACACACACACACACACACACACACACACACACACACACACACACACACACACACACACACGTCGCTGATGTCTCTCACACCTGCAGCAACTGATCATGGCCAGTGTGCACTGGAGTATGAGGTTCCGAATGTGCCAAAAATGTGTCTATGTATTTCTGTGCATGTCTATGTATTTGTACGCACACTGCACTGCGTTGCTGTAATGTGTGTCTATGTATTTCTGTGCGTGTCTATGTATTTGTACGCACACTGCACTGCGTTGCTGTAATGTGTGTCGTATTTTATGAGGTTCCGAGTGTGTCGTTACTCTCTGTCGACACGTGCTGTTGTCACATGCTGTTGTCTCAGTCTGTCGTTACTCTCTGTCAACACGTTGTTTGTCGTTACCCTGTGACACGTGATCCCGTCTTTTAATGTTCGGGCGTTTGTCACGTGATGTTGTCTGGTCTGTTGCTATAACTTGTCAGGAGTTGCTTTTATCTGATATGTCTTATTTTGTTCTCCAGCCTTGTTGTCACATGTTGTCGTCTTAGTCTGTCGTTACCCTCTGTCAGAGACAACAGCAGGTGTCGACAGAGGGTAACGACAGACTGAGAAAGAGCATAACATTACAGCAATGCAGTGCAGTGAGCGTACAAATACATAGACACGCACATAAATACATAGACACACATTACAGCAACGCAGTGCAGTGTGCGTACAAATACGTAGACACGCACAGAAATACATAGACACATTTTTGGCACATTCGGAACCTCATACTGGAGGACTTGCTCCAACCCCACCCCTTCTGCCCACCACACACCGCCACAGCTAGTCTCACAGTTCACCATATGTAATGCAATGAGCTGGTTTAGTGTATGTGTGTGTGTGTGTGTGTGTGTGTGTGTGTGTGTGTGTGTGTGTGTGTGTGTGTGTGTGTGTGTGATATCTATTGACAGTATGGAAGGTCATTGCAGTCAGATGTTTTGAAACTCTTAAGCCTGCCAGCCAAATGAAGCAGTTTCTTTTTTCGACACGTGAAGAACGAAGAGGATTTCCAGGGGAACGTGGACTATCTGGACCAGCTGGACCACGTGGACCACCTGGACCACCTGGACCTGTTCTGATTTGTGGACGAGGTGATTATTGTTTCAGCAAGCCACATACATGTGTTCAGTAAATGATGGGAAAAAATTTACTTCCTGTAAGTCATCATGCAGCAGCAGAAATGCTAAATGGAAAGGAGAAAAAAATTGCCAGGTACAATTAAGTGAACTTTGATACTGAACTTATTCTACTTTATCCAGATCTCTTTGGTTCGGTTGGACAGGATGTTGAATTGTTAATGAAGATGACCACAAAGCTAGAATTGGGTATGTATGTGAATCAGTGATTATCAGTGAATGCTGACTTATTACAGCACAATAAATCCTAGTAGGTTCAGACTAAAGGTTTTCAAAATCATTTTCCAACTCATCCGATGAGCTTTCTCAAACTTCTCAAATCACAAATCACTCTCTAGTCCCTCCTTCGGAAGGGTCTTTGGTATGGAGTTCCATTTGTCTCAAAAAAAAGCACATGTCATATGTATGGATGTTGTTGCTTTATGTTGATGCTTTATGCATATGCGTTACATGCATATGTGTTCGTTAGATATGTGTTTGTTGCATATGTGTTTGTTGCATGTGTTCATTGCATATGTAAATGTTGCTTATGTGTTCATTGCATATGTGTTTGTTGCATATGTGTTCATTACATATGTGTTTGTTGCATATGTGTTTGGTGCATGTGTTCATTGCATATGTAGATGTTGCATATGTGTTAATTGCATATGTGTTTGTTGCATATGTGTTCATTGCATACGTGTTTGTTGCACATGTGTTCATTGCATATGTAGATGTTCATATGTGTTCATTGCATATGTGTTCGTTGCATATGTGTTCATTGCATATGTGTTTGTTGCACATGTGTTCATTGCATATGTAGATGTTCAAATGTGTTCATTGCATATGTGTTCATTTCATATGTGTTTGTTGCATATGTAGATGTTCATATGTGTTCATTGCATATGTGTTCATTTCATATGTGTTTGTTGCATATGTAGATGTTCATATGTGTTAGTTGCATATGTGTTCATTGCATATGTGTTCGTTGCATATGTGTTCATTGCATATGTGTTTGTTGCATATGTAGATGTTCGTATGTGTTAGTTGCATATGTGTTCATTGCATATCTGTTTGTTGCATATGCGTTCATTGCATATGTGTTTGTTGCACATGTGTTCATTGCATATGTAGATGTTCAAATGTGTTCATTGCATATGTGTTCATTTCATATGTGTTTGTTGCATATGTAGATGTTCATATGTGTTCATTGCATATGTGTTTGTTGCATATGTAGATGTTCATATGTGTTAGTTGCATATGTGTTCATTGCATATGTGTTTGTTGCATATGTGTTCGTTGCATATGTGCTTGTTGCATATGTGTTCGTTGCATATGTGTTAGTTGCATATGTGTTCATTGCATATGTGTTCATTGCATATCTGTTTGTTGCATATGTGTTCATTGCATATCTGTTTGTTGCATATGTGTTCGTTGCATATGTGTTCATTGCATATGTGTTTGTTGCATATGTGTTCATTGCATATGTGTTCATTGCATATCTGTTCGTTGCATATGTGTTCATTGCATATGTGTTTGTTGCATATGTGTTCGTTGCATATCTGTTCATTGCATATGTGTTTGTTGCATATGTGTTTGTTGCATATGTGTTCATTGCATATGTGTTCATTGCATATCTGTTCGTTGCATATGTGTTCATTGCATATCTGTTTGTTGCATATGTGTTCGTTGCATATCTGTTCGTTGCATATGTTTTCATTGCATATGTGTTTGTTGCATATGTGTTCGTTGCATATGTGTTAGTTGCATATGTGTTCATTGCATATGTGTTCATTGCATATGTGTTTGTTGCATATGTGTTCATTGCATATGTGTTAGTTGCATATGTGTTCGTTGCATATCTGTTCGTTGCATATGTGTTTGTTGCATATATGTTCATTGTTCACCTCGTCTCCTGGTGAGTGAACACTGGCGCGTCTGGATGCCAGTGCTCTCAGGTTGTTAGTTGTTTTTACGTTTCTTTTATACATTTTTACGCTATTTTGTGCTATTTTGGAGGTCTTCCTGAACTGTTATTTGAACCTTTTCGAAACCTTCCCGTCTGACTGAAAAAACTACCTGTCTGAGGGGCTTAAACACGCTCGCTCAGCCTCAACAGTCAAACAAAGATGTGGATCCACGGCTTATGGGTGTGGTCCGTGCTCATCTGGGTCGTCTTGTCCATCGTCCACTACCCAGTGACTATTCTTCAATATTCTGCTAACGAACTTTTATGGCTGCGCTTTTTCCTGCCGGTTCCTCCATTAAGACATCGCCTTCCAGCCACGCTGCAAGATCCCAACGAGGTTTCTGTGTCCAAGATTCTGGCACAGTCACCTCCTTCTGGTCCAAAACCCGCTGTCCTTCCTATACAATGACCCGAACTGCCAACCACCACATGCTAGCCCACCTAGCCAGGTCGGCTGATCATACGATCAAACATGGCAACTCCACCATCAACTTCAGCCTACTGAACATTCGCTCTCTTACGGGAAAAGGGCATCTCGTCCATGATCTCCTTTCTGACCATAAACTTGACTTTCTCTGCTTGAATGAAACTTGGCAACACCCTAATAATGACTTTATTTCACTCAATAACTCCACTCCGCCCGAGTTAGTTTACGTCTGTAAACCTCGGGAGTCAGGGAGGGGTGGAAGTCTCGCGATAATTCACCGGGAGCAGTGGAAAGTCTCTCCAGTCTCTGCTCCATCCTTCCACTCATTTGAATACAGCGCATTACAACTCCCTGGATCCACTCCTACCATCATATGTACTGTCTACCGCCCACCAAAGCCGAATGAGGACATCTTAAATGACTTTACTGCTCTCCTCACTGACCTTTGCATACTCTCTCCCAGTCTGATAATCACTGGTGATTTTAACATTCACATGGATGAAAACAATCTTCTTACCAGAGACTTTACTTCCTGTTTAGATAGTTTTGGACTCAAACAGCATATCAGCTTCCCCACTCACTCCAAAGGCCATATTCTGGATCTGGTCTGCTGTTCGGGTATTACCCCAGCCCAATGCATAGCCAGTTCTTTTCCTCTTTCAGATCATAAGCTAATCACGTTTAATGTAACTATAAAGGCCTCTAAAACCCTTATTGCTCGCATTATTGCTTTTAGAAAAATCAACAATAGAAATCTTGATGCATTCTCCACTGCAATATCTGATCTACAGCCTGCTCACATTACCTCATCTCCTGAGGATCTTGTTTTTAACTATAATTTTAATCTAAATAACATTCTCAATACTTTTGCCCCAATTAGGCAAAGATCTGTCTCATTTAACTGCTCAGCACCTTGGTTTAACTACGACCTTCACTGTCTTAAATCCGAAGGACACAGATTGGAACGTTTGTCTAAGAAAACCGGCCTCACTATCCATAAAGATCTATATAAGAATCACTTATTGCATTATAAAGACTCCATTCACACAGCTAAATCGGTTTACTATTCTAATTTAATCAGCTCGAGTGAAGGTAACTCCAAGACCCTTTTTTCTCTGTTCTCTAAAATTACAAAGCCTCCTGATTTTTTGCTTAACAGTATGGTGTCCTCTGACTATTGCAACTCCCTCATGTCCTTCTTCACGTCCAAAATCTCAAATATTCACCAACAACTCCATGCTACTAGAGATCCTGTTTCAGAAGTTGAACCCATCCTGACAACTCCAAGTCATTTATTTTCAAGTTTCAGTCTCCCCTCTTTAACTGAGATGTCATATTTAATCAGGGAATCCAAATCATCCACCTGTCAGCTTGACCCTCTCCCCACAGTGCTACTTAAAGTATGTCTTCCATCATTGGCTCCTCTCATATCCTCCATCATTTCCTCTTCCCTCATTACCGGAGTTGTTCCTGCAGCATTAAAAACTGCCTGTATCACTCCGATTCTCAGAAAGTCCGGTGCGGATCCCACCAACTTTGATAATCTTCGTCCAATATCTAAATTACCATTTATTTCCAAAATCCTTGAAAAAGTTGTTGCTTCTCAGCTTCACTCATATCTCAATTCTCATAACTATATGAACAATTCCAACCTGGTTTCAGACCACAACACAGCACAGAGACAGCACTAGTAAAAATCACAAATGATCTACTAATGGCAGCAGACTCTGGCCATCTCTCCATTCTGGTTTTACTAGATCGAAGTGCTGCATTTGACACCATTTCTCACAGCATACTTCTCAAAAGATTAGCATCTATCGGCATTAGTCACACATCCCTAGCCTGGTTCACCTCATACATATCGGATCGTACTCAGTTCATTCAAATTCAATCTCACTCTTCTAGTCCTTCCCCGGTTACTGCAGGAGTTCCCCAAGGCTCAGTTCTAGGCCCTCTCTTATCTATCATCTATTTGCTCCCCCTTGGTTACATTTTCCGCAAATACAACGTTGATTTTCACTGTTGTACTGATGACACCCAGCTGTACATTTCCTCCAATCCAAATGCATCCCTTCCACCAATCTCCCTCTCTAACTGTCTATCAGAAATTAGATCTTGGCTCTCTCAGAATCTAATTAAACTAAGCAGCAATAAAACGGAACTCTTACTCATTGGCACTGCTTCAGTTTTAAAAAATTCTCCCAATTTCTCTATCAATATTGATGACGCCACAGTTCACCCATCTTTACAGGTAAAAATCTTGGTGTCATACTTGATGGTACACTTTCATTCCAATCTCACATTAACCATGTGAACAATTTTCTTTATTGTCCCTCAGTGGGGAAATGTTAGTGTAACAGCAACAAAGCAGTATCAATTAAGAGTGACGTGAACAAAGTCTAAAGAATAAAATACTGTGAAGTGAAAATAAAAAAGCAAAATATACTTAAGATTGAAATTGAATGAATTCCCCAAATAAAAAAATCAACTATATAATAAACTGTAGCAGACTATTCACAGGGAGTGAGAACATCAACAAGTATAATAAACACATTTTCTTGCTGGTTTCTTTTACACCATTCTAAGATGTTCATCCTGTGAAGGGACCCTAAAGACAGAACTGAATCCATGTACCAAGAATAACTCAAATACATACAAAGTAATAAATGCACACAGTGTATAATTTTTTCTAATTCCCTGTACCATTTCTCCCATTTTCCAGCGGTTACCTTTCACTTTGTGAGGAAGGTTGGTCAGAAATACTTGGTGTCCAACAAGGAGAGAGGCTCCTTTCAGAAGGCCTCTGAGTTCTGCTCCCAACAAGGAGTAGAGCTGGTCCTGCCCCAGAGTGGAGAGGAGAACAACAAGCTGACTCAGCTGATTGGTGAAGCTGATCAAACAGCCTGGATCAACAGAGAAAGGTTAGAGAGCGAATCTCTGAAGTTCACCAAATGGGCAGAAGGACAGCCAGATGAACCCATCCAGCAAGAAAGCTGCATCGTGGTGTCTGATAAGGGCTACTGGAGAGTGTCACGAGACTGTTCTCTGAACGCCTACATCGTCTGTCAGATATAGAAAGATGTAATCTGGCATGTTGTTGCTTAAAAAGCCAAAAAGATTATTTAGCAACTTTTATCTGACTGCTTTCATATCAGTGATTCTCTTAATGTAGCTTTGAAGTTCCTGCAGAAAATTAACATAATTGACACATTGAAGACTGAATTTATGTCTGTGTCATGTAAATCCAATGAAAGTTCTAACAAAGTTTGGTCCAGTCCCTCTCTTGGAGGTGACGTCCAACAACATCACAAGGACTGGGAGCTCTTTAGTCTACTCTCATCTACTGAACCTTCACCAGCACACACCTATATATATATATATATATATATATATATATATATATAAATAATAGATAGAAATTCATACACCAACTTGCCTGTTCTATATTTACTCAAAAGATTATAATGTTTAATATTTATTTAAAGATTTAATTTAATAGCAAAAGTTATTTGTTAATTCAAAAGATCTAAAGATCTTTGCTTGTTCAGTGATCAGTATACACCCACTCTGTTTATTTTAAGAAAGAGTCAAGTTTAAAAAGGTTAAGAAATTTATTACTAAACAATTTAAACATGCCACTTTAAAAAGACAATTCATAAAAGACAATTTATAAAAGCTTTGGTATTAAAAAGCAACCCTGTGTTTGGATGAATCTAAGGTGAAATGTGTTTTGTTTGCGGGTGAATGCAATGTCTCAGAACGTGTATCTTGAAAGAAAGGACGTGTTCTGGTTGAAAAAGAATTTGGTTTGCGAATAAGCTAAATTGTTCTTAATAAAAGAGCATTCATCTCGTAGCATCAGCTTGTTCAGCAGGTGTCATTTTGTTGTGTAGGGGCAACTCTGCCAGCATGACAGAAATTGCTTTGTTGGTTAAAGAGTGTGGGCAGCCGTCCCAACTTCTCTAGAACTCACTCGCAAATGACCAGAGTTCTGTTTTATAAGATGGTTACTTCCATATTCCAACGTATCAGGTCCTGACATGTAGAAGGAAGGTTTTAACAAACCTTCAGAAACACGCCTCCCTGAAGATAGAAGGTTCTGGTGTTATGCGAAAAGATCATGTGAGTGCAAATTACCTTTAACCTAGTTACTGTGACCTGTGTTTCTGTGTACATGTAATGAATTAGATTATGTGTTATTTAATGAGCCATAAGGCGTGGGGTTCCATAGGAAATATGAAATCCACCTTACGGATCTGTGAGTTATTTAAAACAGAAGATTGGATCTTTTTATTGCAGGGATTAGATAACCGCTTCATATTCAATCAGAGACAACAGAAGAGAGAGAGTCAAGTTTAAAAGTTAAGAATTTTATTACTAACAAATTAAACTAGACTGACTTTAAAACTAAATGTATGGTGTAACTAAGGTGGACGAGACGGTGGATGGATGACGTGTGATGTTAATCAGAACCAGCAAATCCGAAGAAGCGATTTGTTCTGACGGGAACTGAAGGTGATGTCTTCACATAAAGCTTTGGTTAGGAGGTTCATAAACACATGAGACACCATTTGCCGGGCTACATGCCCTGAGCGGAAGTCCCCGTCTAGATCAGGAGGTGTATAGGTCCAGCTTGACCTTATGGAGCCGGAGCATGTAGAAGAATCCACGGCAACCGACCACCCGTCCTGGGATACGTCCGGGTCGCGACAATTTGTTGGCGTCTGGTGAGACCCAAGCCTGGGTCTTGATGGTTCAGTTTTTATTCTGAAAGGAACTGTTGCAGCAGTTGGAATAGCAACAAATTTTTCAGCTTGTCGTTGGTTCTTTCGGTTAAAGAGTTGTAGTTCAGGATTGGCCACTCCGTCACTTTCTCTGGAACGCTTTGAACTGGCATTAGAGATGACGTGGCATAGCTTTATACTTCGGATGTTATGGTTTATTGTCGAATGAAAATTACCAAACACCGTCAGAAGCACGCCTCCGTCAGATCTGTAAGATTCTGATTGGCTCAGTGAAAGTAATGTGTTATGTCTTTTTAACGCTACGTGAAATGAGTCCTGTTGGAACACTTAAAGTCACAGTATCTTTATATTCTATAGGATTATAATAAAGTAATAAATATTTTGATTTCACAGATCGGTCACATCTTATTCATTGACTAACACTTTGATGGATTAGCTTTATTAAAATAGAGTTCTTTGATTAATTAAAAGAAAAGAGTTCATTCTCCATTCTTCTGTTGAGCTGAAAATAAGCAGGTTAGAAGGAATGCATGAGACCTTGAGACCATATCTCATGCAGACTAGTCTTGTGCAGAGGAGGGGAAAAAACTGTCTTTTCATTCCGTTACATATAAGTGCACATGATTACTTGTCATAGTTGACATTACTGATTATCATAAACAATTATTAACCAAAGAATAACAATTCATTTCAGTAATTAAACACAGTTATAATGAACCTTGATGATTAGTAGTAAAAAGAGTTTATTTAAATGATTATTTTAAATCTTGAAATATCCTCATCTTGCTGTGGATGGAATAGCAGTCAGATAAGCAGACAGCTGCAGATTGAAGGAGTGGTAGTAGACCTTAAGTCTCCTGTGAAGGACTATCGGAGATTGGAGTAGCAGCCAGGGCAAGGTGACCCAGGCTGTGGATCTGACCTGTGAGTCTTAAAATCAGACCATTTTGTGATGCTACACCTACAAAGCGCATAGAGTGCTGTGATTGGTCCATAAAGCAGATAGAGCACTGTAATTAGCCCAACATTGTGGACCAATCACAGCTCTCTGTGTTTTTGAAACCCTTGTAGAGAGCTGCGACTGGCCAGCCAAAATGCTACTAGGGTCTGCAGAGGTTCCAAGACCAAACCTTGCAAGGCAAGAATTTGGTCCAGTTCACTAAGCTAGCATTGCATGGCTAGCCCTGTGACAACTAGTGATGTGACATTCACAAACAAATCAAATCTTTTAAACGAGTTTTCAGAGCCAACAATGAGAGCCGAGCCCTTGTAGAGAACAGTTAATCTGGTCTTCCAGTAAACCCCCTTCAACCCTGCTTTCACGGACACCGGGGGACACGTTACTCTTCTCCCTGCTTTCATGGCTCTGCTTCATTAAAAGGGATGATTCTTTAATACGGGTCTTTGAGTTAAATGACAGAGTAATCTATGGCTCCTTTCAAAGAGCCATAAGTCCCATTGTCGAGTTATCTTCTCGTTACCCAAACTCTAGGCGTGGCCCCAACAGAGGATGTTGGACAACTCCACTCATTTCGTCTGTTTCGTTTCTTTTCTTTACTGGTGAGTAATAGGTTGATAACCTTAAGCAAACAAATTCATATAATTAGCACATTTACAGACATTAGCAGACAGATTAGACATAATAGACTTTAGTTGTACATTTTTTTAAACTTTAATTCCCTTTGGAGATGCAGCACAAATAAGCTTACATTTATTTTATAACTTTATTTATTTTTTGTTTAATAAGTAAAGATACATACCAGAAGCATCTCTGTGGTTGCCAAACACTGAGCAAACAAACTGAAGCAAAGCAAAGGAACCATCTGTCTGGTTTACACGAATCAAATCTCTCTACCAGGAGGCAAGATGACCATACCGATTACTTTTGACGTAACACTGCCCTCTTTTGTGCAAAACATATAAGTAATTTCAAATTTTATTTGTCACATACACAGTCATACACAGTACGGAATGCAGTGAAATGCCTTACACAACTGCTCATGACCTAAGAGTTGAAAATAAAAAACTGTACACCACGAATTAAAATGTAGGGTAAATTTAACTGGGAAAGAGTAAGGTAAAATATATCTGAATTAAAGTTGAATAATAGAATAGCTTTACAACAAAATACACAATACAATACAAATTAGAATAAAAGGTAAATTTAGCTGGGAAGTAATAAGATAAAATATATATAAGTTGAAGTTGAGAATAAAGTAACTGTACAACAAAATACACAGTATGTAAATGTATAAGAATGTATGAAGAAATAAAAATATCTATACAAAACAGCGGCTGAACAAGTATTAAATGGAAATGAAAAAATGTATATATATAATGTCCAGAGTTGTGCAAACCACATTTTAGTGACTTTGTAGTGCAATTGTGCTTAAGCAAATTCCAGACTGTTCAGTGTGTGTGAGAACCATATGTGTGGGCACTTACTATGTGATGGTGTGGTTTAAAGATCGTATCGCCTGTGGGAAGAAACTCCTCCTCAGCCTCTCTATGTTGGTCTTCAGGGAGCGGAATCGCTTTCCTGACCTCAACAGAGAGAATAGTCTGTTATTTGGATGGCTGAGGTCCTTCACGATCTTCCTGGCCTTGGTCCAGCACCGCCTGCTGTAGATCGAGAGCAGGTCAGGGAGCTCGGAGCGGATGGTGCGCTCAGCTGATCGTATAACCCTCTGTAGAGCTCGTCTGTCCTGCATGGTGCTGTTCCCGAACCAGGTTATGATGTTCCCCGTCAGTATGCTCTCCATGGTGCACGAGTAGAAGTTCCTGAGCACCCTGGGGGGCAGTCGGAAGTCTCTCAAGCGTCTGAGGTAGTAGAGACGCTGCCGGGCCTTTTTCACCACGCTGTTGATGTGACAGGACCATGACAGGTCCTGCGTGATGTGAACACCGAGGTATTTGAAGATGCTCACTCTCTCCACTGGGCACTCGTTGATGACGGGGATCTGGTAGTTTCTCTCCTGCTTTGTATTGAAGTCCACTATCAACTCCTTCGTTTTACTGACGTTTAGAAGGAGGTTGTTCCTCTTGCACCAGGTCTCCAGATTCCTGACCTACTTTAAGTAGGCCGCCTTGTTGTTGTCAGAGATCAGGCCCACCACGACGGTATTGTCAGCAAACTTAATGATGGTGGTGGAGCTGGTACTGGCCACACAGTCGTATGTGTACAAAGAGTACAGCAGGGAGCTTAGAACACACCCCTGGGGGGCTCCAGTGCTGAGAGTGGTGGGGGCTGAGACATGTCCGCCCATCCTTACTGCCTGTGGTCTGCCAGTTAAGAAGTTGGAGATCCACTGGCACATAGATGAGCTCAGTCCCAGGTGCTCCAGTTTGGTGGTGAGTGTGGAGGGAATTATGGTATTAAATGCAGAGCTGTAGTCGATGAAGAGCATTTTAACATAATTCCCCCTTCTAGTGTCCAAGTGAGTGAGTGATGTGTGGAGGAGATGACAGATGGCATCGTCTGTAGAGCGATTTGGACGGTAAGCGAACTGTAGTGGGTCCAGTGTGTCTGGTAGTGAAGAAATGATGAAGTCTCTGACCAGGCGTTCGAAGCACTTCATCACTACTGAGGTGAGGGCTACGGGGTGATAGTCATTGAGAGAAGCAGGGTGGGGTTTCTTCGGTACAGGAACAATGATGGACTCCTTAAAGCATGTGGGGATCACCGACTGAGATAAAGAGATGTTGAATATCTCAGTGAACACAGGAGCTAGCTGGTATGTGCAGTCTCTGAGGATACGACCTGGGATGCCGTCTGGTCCTGCTGCTTTCCTGGTGTTCACTCTCTTGAAGGCTCTCCTCACGTCATGCTCGGAGATGACGAGCATGTTTTCGGTGTTGGCAGTATCTTCCTGTCTGCAGCCGTTAGCGCCGTTAGTGCTAGCGTCGTTGGAGTCCTTAGCTGCAGCCTCGAAGCGAGCATAGAAAGTGTTCAGCTCGTCTGCCAGAGTCGCGTCTATGTTTATCATACCAGTTGTTGGTGCTTTATCATCCAGCAAGAAAGCTGCATTGTGGTGTCTGATAAGGGCTACTGGAGAGTATCACGAGACTGTACTCTGAAAGCCTACATCGTCTTGCTTTGAGCCTCTCCCTGGGCTGCCACCTTACCGTGGTGGAGGGGTTTGAGTGTCTCAATGATCCAAGGAGCTAAGCTGTCTGAGACTTTCTGCCTCTGGTAGGGTCACCCATGGCAAACAGGTCCTAGGTGAGGGATCAGACAAAGAGCAGCCCGAAGACCTCTTATGATGAATTATATAAATGAAAACCGTGTTCACTCGCCCGGACGTGGGTCACCGGGGCCCCCCTCTGGAGCCAGGCCTGGAGGTGGGGCACGTTGGCAAATGCCTGGTGGCTGGGCTTTCACCCATGGAGCCTGGCCGGGCACAGCCCGAAGAGGAAACGTGGGCCCCCCTTCCCATGGGCTCGCCACTCGTGGGAGGGGCCAAAGGGGTCGGGTACAGTGTGTGACGGGTGGTAGTCAAGGGCGGGGACTTTGGCGGTCTGATCCTCGGCTACAGAAGCTGGCTCTTGGCACATGGAACGCCACCCCTCTGGTGGGGAAGGAGCCTGAGTTGGTGCTGAGGTCACTGAGGTGGTTAAAAAGCTCCTCTGTGGCAAGGCTCCAGGGGTGGATGAGATCCGCCCGGAGTTCCTTAAGGCTCTGGATGTTGTGGGGCTGTGTTGGCTAACACGGCTCTGCAATATCGCGTGGACATCGGGGGCAGTCCCACTGGACTGGCAGACCGAGGTGGTGGTCCCCTTATTTTAAAAGGGGGACTGCAGGGTGTGTTCCAACTACAGGGGAATCACACTCCTGAGCCTTCCTGGTAAGGTCTATTCAGGGGTTCTGGAGAGGAGGGTCCCTCGGATTGTTGAACCTCAGATTCAGGAGGAGCAATGTGTTTTTCGTCCTGGCCGTGGAACAATGGACCAGCTCTATACCCTTACCCCCAAATTCCACTACCTCCGCTCCGCTGCGCTCCGCTCCGACACGGACGCCGGAGCAAAATCGGTCCCGTTCTAGTCAATCAGAGCAATTCCACTACTGCGGCCGTGCTCCGGCAGTGCGGCGCCGTGCGGCGCCCTCTGTTCCGACGTCCGGCAAAAATAGAATCGATCCTATTTTTGCCGGACGCCGGAGCACCTCCGCAGTAAAAGGACAGAAATCACAACGGCCCAACAGGAAAAGGAGCAAGCACATCTTCCGTTTTTCACAATAAATCGCTAAACAAAAGGCGTTTTTTGTTTCATATGCACAGGTTTAACAACTTTTAACAACTATCAATGGCGGCTGAAGTTTAAATGCACAAAAATAAGCCATAAATACAGTTGCCACTATCAAAGTAGTCACACTTTGTTGATCCAAACACTGCTGATCTCTCAACACAATGATGGGCAGATTAAACAGCTCATTTCCGATGCTTCTCCCGCACAACGGGTGTTTGGATCTAACTTCCGCGTTTATTGCTCGGACTGTATCGCAAGATCTCGAAAATCCCGCGCATGCTTGTTTGCCCCCCTCAGGTCTCCGCACCGGAGCGGAGCCGTTGTAGAGCGGGTACCAGTAAAATTGAGTTCGGAAGCGAGCGGCTGCGGAAGGCGGGGGCGGACCGGAGCGGAGCGGAGCGGAGGTAGTGGAATTTGGGGGTTAGGGCGATCCTGGAGGGTGCGTGGGAATTTGCCCAACCAGTTTACATGTGTATTTTGAGAAGGCGTTTTACCGCGTCCCTCTGGGGGCCCTGTGTGTGTGTGTGTGTGTGTGTGTGTGTGGGGGGGGGGGGGGGGGGTACTACAGGAATATGGGGTACCAGGCCCTCTGATACGGGCTGTTAGGTCCCTGTATGACTGGTGTCAGAGCTCGGTCCGCATTGCCGGCAGTAAGTCGGGCTCGTTCCCAGTGAAAGTTTGACTCCACCAATTGTCACCAATTCTGTTCATAACCTTCATGGACAGGATTTCTAGGCACAGCCAAGGTGTGGAGGGCATCCGTTTTGGTGGCCTAAGGATCAGGTCTCTACTTTTTGCAGATGATGTGGTCCTGTTGGCTTCATCAGAACGTGATCTTCACCTTTCGCTGGAGCGGTTCGCAGCCGAGTGTGAAGCAGCTGGGATGAGAATCAGCTCCACTAAATCGAGTGAGGGAAAACTGGAGCATGAGATCGATAGGCGGATTGGTGCTGCATCTGCAGTGATGCAGGTGTTGTACCGGTCTGTCGTGGTGAAGAGAGAGCAGAGTCAGAAGGCGAAGCTCTCGGTTTACTGGTCGATCTACGTTCCTACCCTCACCTATGGTCATGAGCTTTGGGTAGTGACCAAAAGAACGAGATCGAGGATACAAGCGGCCGAAATGAGTTTTCTCCGAAGAGTGGCTGGGCTCTCCCTTAGAGATAGGGTGAGAAGCTTGGTCATTCGGGAGGGGCTCGGCATAGACCCGCTGCTCCTCCACATCAAGAGGAGCCAGTTGAAGTGGCTCGGGCATCTGGTCAGGATGCCTCCTGGACGCCTTCCTGGCGAGGTTTTCCGGGCACTCCAACCGGGAGGAGACCTAAAGGTAGACCCAGGACACGGTGGAGGGACTATGTCTCTCACCTGGCCAGGGAACGCCTTGGGATTCCCTCGGAGGAGCTGGCCCAAGTGGCTGGGGAGAGGGAAGTCTGGGCCTCTCGCCTTAGGCTACTGCCCCCACGACCCGACTCCGGATAAGCGGATGAAAATGGATGGATGGATGGATAATGCTTTGAATCTTATGCATAAATAAAATGCAAGTGAAGTGGCACATGAAATGTCTCCTGGAAGTTTTTTTTTTATTATTATTATTGAAAACTGTTCTTGGTGCCTCTTTATGAAATGTTATTGAAGGTCACAATAAGGGATGTTCCAATGGCACATGTCGCCACAACCCAAATCCGTTAGATCTTTACTATCTGCCGATATCGAGTCCTGATCCAATAATTCAGCGATGCATTAAAATAAGATGAAGAAGAAAGGAGAACACCTTCTATTTGTCAAGCTGTGCAAATAAGTTTTATCTGACCTTTACCACCCAAATCATCTGGAAATCCCATGATCGGATCAAAGTGGTCCTAGTCACAGCGAGGTTATGAGACAATAAAAAATTTATGTGTCCACCGACTGGACAATACATTAGCTTTCTGTGTCATCTCAAGATGTTTTTGATCAAAATTGTTGAATTTATGTATTTTCTAATTAAACACATTACAAATGCATTAGGTGAGGCACGCACCATGCTCCAACTTCCTGCATGAGTTAGTGCTCTGTCTTTTGAAAAGTAAGAGATGGCCTGAAGGACAGCACAGAGGCCCTCATCATGGCTGCACAGGAACGGGCCATGAAAACCATATTAACAGAGGCAAGATCTACCACACCAGATACAAGGTGTAGGGGTCGGCAACCTTTTCCCATCAAGGAGCCATCATTACCCGTTTCCCACAGTAAAGAAAACATTGGAGCCACAGCAGCAGCAGCGTTGTGGGTGGGCCTACTGGGCGTTTTTAGCTGCTAAAATCGCCCAAATTTAGCCCCATTGACTTGCATTAATTTTTTCGTTCTTCCGGGTAACCATGAGCTGACCGAAAACAGGAGACTTAGGCTCCCTGTGCCTCTGAAACAAATGTGAGTTTCTGTGTGATTAATGATAATTATATCATCAGGCTAACAGTCAATGTTCAGAGCTTTGCTAGTTTCAGTGTTACAGATTATTAATTAGTGGTAACTGAGTAATTACTGATCACATTCCTTTCTATATTGTAATCAAACATCAGAGTTACAACTCTGAATCTGCAGACATAGCTGAACTGGTGAGGGGGTTCTGGTGGGTCAACAGAACCTTTTCTGCTTTAAGGTAACTTGCATTGTCCGTAAAGCTGCATTATGTAATATTTTTGATGAAATAAAAACATTTTTCAAATCCATATCCAGTGTTTTCATCTCTTAATCATCTCCTGGCTGGCTCCACCCTATGAAAGCTGTGACATGTGCATGTTTGCAAAAAGGCTGTGTTTTCCTTCAGTTACCCAATAAATTAGCTTAGCTAGTGGCTTGAAACATACAGTTGAAGATGAATTCTTGCAGCAATTCATGCTTCTGACCCAGGTCACTCCTCCTCCTAGTTCTGACCACGGCAGAGCACCTAGGAGTGGGCCTCCAAGATGTTAATTATCACCCGGTCCTCAGCATCCATCCCAGGTTGCTCTTACTCATGGTTCTGGACTGGTTTGGGTGCACAGAAGTGGCACTAAAGGCTGATACTTCCAGCTTGGATCTCTGCATTTGTGAAGTGGCATGTCTACCTGGTTCTGTCCAGAGTCATGCAGCAACAGGCCTAACCCTTGATTGCCCATAAAATTCCCTTGGTTCTCTCCCCTTACTCCATCATCCATCGATTTTCATCCGCTTATTTGGAGTTGGATCGCGGGGGCAGTAGCCTAAGTCGAGAGGCCCAGACTTTCCTCTCCCCAGCCACTTGGGCCAGCTCTTCCGGGGGAATCCCAAGGTGTTCCCTGGCCAGGTGAGAGACATAGTCCTTCCAATGTGTCCTGGATCTCCCTTTAGGCCTCCTCCCGGTTGGACGTGCTGGGAAAACCCCAACAGGGAGGCGTCCAGGAGGCATCCTGACCAGATGCCCAGATCAGATGTCCCCTTACTACCTTGTGTTATTGTGAAGTGGACATTGCCCCCTAATGGCTGCCTACAGTGAAAGTTATGAAGTTATGGAAAAAGCCCTGACTAATAACTTGGTTTAAAAAAGGTTTTGTCCAGGATTAAGATCTTGTTTATTCACATAGGTTATTAATTCAGTCCACTCCAGTGAAATATTGGTTATTATTATTGTTATTATTATTATTATTATTAGTAGTAGTAGTAGTAGTAGTAGTAGTAGTAGTAGCAGTAGTAGTAGTAGTAGTAGTAGTAGTAGTAGTACTACTAGTAGTAGTAGTAGTAGTAGTAGTAGTAGTAGTAGTAGTAGTAGTACTAGTAGTAGTAGTAGTAGTAGTAGTAGTAGTAGTAGTAGTAGTAGTAGTAGTAGTAGTATATATTAGTATTTATTTTCTGAGTTTAAAAAGTCGTGGAATTAAAATCTAATGGCACAGAAGTTGTTTTTTATGGTCAAAAAAGAAAATAATGTACAAACCAATAAAAGAAGTTCTGCAGAATAAACAGAAAATAAGCAGAAAACCAGGAAATGATACTAACTAAAAGCAGAAGAGAGGAAATGAAGTAAAGGAAGAATGAAGGAAGAATTTCTAGCTAAAGTCTTAATATGAGAAGTAAACCCACACCACACAGACATTAGGAACGCAGTGTAGATAAAAAGTATTCACAGTGCATCACTTTTCCCACAATTTATTACTCTGTAACCTTACATAAGAATTAAATGTTTTTGTCTTAAAAAAGCAACAACAGCGTGAAGAAGTTTATAGTAGATTTTGCCAATTTATTAAAAAATTAAATAAAGAAAACTGAGAAGCAATTCTTTCGGTCACTACCCAAAGCTCATGACCATAGGTGAGGGTAGGAACGTAGATCGACCGGTGAATCGAGAGCTTCGCCTTCTGACTCAGCTCTCTCTTCACCACGACAGACCGGTACAACGCCCGCTTCACTGCAGATGCAGCACCAATCCACCTATCGATCTCATGCTCCATCATTCCTTCACTCGTGAACAAAACCCCGAGTTACTATATCTCCTCCACTTGGGACAGGACCTCATCCCTGGCCTGGAGAAGGCATTCTACCCTTTTACGACTCAAGACCATGGTCTCTGATTTAGAGGAGCTGATTCTCATCCCAATCCTGAATAAAACTAGGGGCAGTATGAAAGGGGATTAGGGCAACTGATTAGAAAAAATAGACTTTAATCTCAGAAGTCTGACTTTTTGACTTCTGAGGAAAAAGTCTGAATTCTGAGATTAAAGTCAGAATAATTTTTTTTTCTTTTCAGCGGCCCTAATCCTCTTGCATAATCACAGCCAGGTCAATAACAGAGGACCCACCAGTGGGCGGGCCGTGGGTCATTGTGATGGGAGGGAACCCAAACAGCAAAGTAAAGTTGCAGAGTAAGATGGATGATTAACCAGTACCTTCTGCCAAGTTTCTGCTTCTTTATTTAAATTTCCAGATTAGGACAGATTTTGCTGTTTCCTGTAGAGCGGTTTTCTCATAAATGACGTCTGACTACTGCCTTAGTCATCAATCTTTGAAATAAGTCAAGAGGCAGTACACACCAGCAGATCACCCCACATTTACACATTTCTTTGCTGCATTTCCTCATTTCTCTTTTTCATTTGGACAAATTACAAACTCAGAGGTGACTATCCTTTTGCAGTCCTGAAACTTTGGAACCAACAACCTTTGTGTTTTAGACCGTGTCCCCAATCCCAGGTACAAAATCTTAATTTAAATAGTTTTTGTCCTATATTTGTATTTAATGTGTCATTTTCTGATCTGAATGTTATAGTTTTATACTTTGTTCATTGCTTTTTTATTCCATTTTATTTGCTTGCTTTAAGCTGTGGTATACTGATACGTTTTACTAGTTTATGTTATTGTACAGCACTTTTATTTCATAGTATTTAAAGTACCTCGTAAATAAAATAGGACTGGACTGATTAGATATCAGAATAAATGTTTACAGCTAAAAAATGTTGGTGAATTCTGTAACAATATGTAGAATGTACATTTGGAATTTGAGTTTTCATCTGTGTTTCAGTTTTCCTTCAAGAAAATGAGTCTGCTTCTCATATTCTGCACGCTCTTCCTGGTGGCTGGTGTCACTGTCTGTCAGTTCCCAAATCCATATCCATTTCCAGATCCATATCCATATCCAGATCCAGATCCTTGTATTTTCTGCGGATATCCACTACCAGGACCACCAGGATTACAAGGTAAGAGCACAAACGCTTCCAATGATTCTAGTGAGGTCCATTTTATTTATTAAGCACAGAAAACCAGGGTTATGAATAAACATCTCAAATCAAGGTGCAGAAAAAGGGTAAGAGGTCACAAGCCTCACAACCTCAGGGAAGCAGCTGGTTCCTCTTCTTTACCTTCTGAATAGATAGTCAGATGAGTGGTTGTGGTTAATCATTATGTTTGTTGCTCTGGTTTCAAGTCCTCTGGTGTAAATGACCTTTAGAGAGGGGAAGATGCTAGAACATTCTCTACCACACCCTGGTAATAAGACGAAAACATAGCGGCACCACCAGAATTCATACAGTCTCCAAACCTGGGATTTTAGTTTTGACTGGGACTAACCCTAACCCCTTTTGTAATGGTATGGGGTGTCCTGTTTCATCTGTCAACCTTGGATGTTGGGGCAGTGGAGGCGGTCCCACCATTAAATCCAGAGGTAACTCCAAGTTGTAGTCCATTTTTCTCTGATTAGGACCTTCCACTGTTTCTTTTTTATCGATAAAGTTAGAAACATGAGGAACAATATTTCTCCTTCAACAAAAGTTGATGTTTCATCTCCAGCAGTGATTTTAGAAACTGTTCCTTTACTTGCCAAGATATTTGAATAAGTGAAAGTGTTCTCTTAATGACATTTTACAGTTGTGTTCAGTCACTTTAATTATTTATTGCTTGCTTTGTTTTTGATGCAGGACTACCAGGGCTACCTGGACAACGAGGACTACGTGGTTTACCAGGGATACCTGGGAAAGCCATACCAGGTCTGGTAAAAGACACGGCTGGATCTCCTATTTACAATTTCTGTCTAATGAGAATCATATTAGCTATTTGAAGTTTTCATATTATCTAATATTTAAAAGCAGATTCCGTTAACCTGGACTACCCGAAATACTAGGTGAATGACTCTGGTTTCCTTCAATTCTCCTACCCCTTGTAACGTGAGGAAATATGGGTTTTCTGTCACAAAGGTGGTGTTGGACTCAGCTGTGTCAAAGCTGGGTCGCTGAGAACTTTCACCCACAGATTAAGACCTGAACGCCAGCGAGTCTGGGAGGAAACCATAACATCTGCCACCTGCGGTACCAGAAGAAGGAGTTCTCATGGACAAGTAGTCATAACAAGTCAAAACATAAAGTTTAAACTTCCTTTTCTTATTTTGAATGTTAAAAGTTTAATCATCAATTTGCTCATTATAAATGTGTTTTAATCAAATGAATGACTATTATGCTTTTGGGTAATTATAAGAGATTTAATTAATCCATTCTTAAATAATGTTGAGAATGTTTGGTACTGACCTTCACACACACTCAAGCACACAAACATTCACACACACCCACACACATCTGCTCACAGTAAACTCCAAAACACATTTGCTGACGCACACGTTTGCTTTGAGAGGAGAAAGGTTTTTGGTAAGTTTCAGTCTTATGATTTCAGTTCGTGCTTGACAACGAAAGAGAGTGGACCTGAAAACCAAAGGGGGGGCAGAGCCGGTTGGCTCGTTCTTCCCCCCTTTCACGCTGTTTCTGCCAAGCCAGGCAGAATAGCTGAATCGCGACTTCTAACGCAGACTCATTACCGAGTCTTTTGATTTCTGAGTGAACTTAACTTAATAAAGCGCATCGACAAAACGCTCTACCATCAACGTGTACCGAGGGCAACTCTGGACCGGTTCGCGGCGCATCTTTGTCTTCTTTGCCAGCCAAGGTGCCCTGGATGAAACATCCTAAGGTGACGTCCCGGGTGCAACAGAGGGTCCGATTTTCGGTGAGGCAAAACACGACAGATAGCGTTTTGATGCATCTTTTCCAACTAAACCTAAGTTTATTCAAACCATCACTTTTCACTCAGACACCTGTTTCTTACTGAAGCAAAATCAGATGCACACACGCATCCATCCCACCTCATGTTCAATTCTCACGACACTTGGCACCCACACGCATCCATAATCACATCATATCACTCTCAATCTTCATTCACCGACAGAAGGTCTATTTGAGCAAGAACAGCATATCAACTGTTAAAGATTGTCCCACAAAGTTGCCAATGTTGATTGTTATTTCCTGTTTGTCAATTTCAAAATCATTAGTTTAATTTGAAGAATTAAAACTTTTAATTGTCAAACTGGTTTCCTCATTGAACTGAAACACAGACACACAGATATTATCGTCAGTTTATCGATGAAAACAACCTTTGAGTCTTCTTAACAATATAACTGAGTAAAGACAGTTTCTCCTTACAATATAACTGAGCCAGTCAATATTTTCTTTACAAATATGGCTGAGCCAGCCAAATTTCTTTACACCCTCTTACATCATAAAACCATCTATTAAACAGCGGTCAAACTATGTCCTCCTTCAAAGTGTGTCATGCATCAAACTGAGCTGAAGAATTGCTCTCCTGTTATTTTTTCCATTGGAGATTACAACCGATATGTTTTTGTAGCTGCAACTGATAATTAGATTTGTGTCTTCTTAAATGTTCACCCCATTTTATTACATGATTAGTTACACAAGAACTTGGGATGAAGTGTAAATGGCCTGTATTTGATATAACGCCTTCTAGAGTCACCCATTCACACACACATTCACACACTGATGGTGATGAGCTACGATGTAGCCACAGCTGCCCTGGGTGCACTGACAGAGGTGAGGCTGCCGAGCACAGGTGCCACCAGTCCCTCTGACCACCATCAGCAAGCAACGTGGGTTAAGTGTCTTGCCGTAGGACACAACGACCGCGACAGAGTGAGCGGGGCTCGAACCTGCAACTGCTGACGTCGTTAGGTCCGTTTTAGGGGGGGTTCAGCCCCCCTAAAATAATCACAAGCCCCCCTATCATTTTGAGTTTTTTGAGGGCTGGGACTTTAACGCGTTATTATGATTAATTAGAAAAAAAACGACACATTAAAAAAATTTCACGCATTTAATCGCAGCTTGCATTTCGAGCACGACGGAAGCTTTGTCATTGCACGGCTTCCTCGTAGACAGAATATCACTGACGCACACAACAATGCACAGTGCTAATGGCTACTAATGGAATAAAAATGGAAAGAAGTTGCCTTTCTTGAACTGATGCAGGATTTAGGAAACACGTCCGCCTCTTTTCTTAACTTGAAAAAAAACAAACTTCCAGACAACAACGGAGTCTGTGTCGCGAACATTTTTCAGAGATCGTCTCTGCTGCGGCTGCCCGGTGGCAACGGAAACTTTACAAAAGTTGCAGTAAGCTATATTTTTTACATTTACGTAACATCTGTGCAGCGCTGAAAGCACCAGACAGAATAATTCTGTGCCCTAACAGTAGTTTATGAAAGTAGTCAGACAAACGAGAGGCACCTGGCTGCCGCTGGGAGAACGCTCCGTGTTCTCACTACTCTGTAAACAATCACAAACAACGTGTCTTAAAGTTGAAAACAGAAGTTTAAGTTAAAACAGAAACACTCTGAAACTTTTCTGATGATTTTCTAAACAATTCTGTCAGGGAGGTATACGTTTCTGAGACGAGTCTCTGTCTAAACATCATCACATGCATAAAGAAAATATTGACTGGCTCAGTTATATTGTAAAACTGGCTGGCTGGTCATATTGTAAGGAGAAACTGTCTTTACTCAGTTTTATTGTTAAGAAGACTCAAAGGTTGTTTTCATCGATAAACTGCCGATAATATCTGAGTGTCTGTGTTTCAGTTCAATGAGGAAACCAGTTTGACAATTAAAAGTTTTAATTCTTCAAATTAAACTAATGATTTTGAAATTGACAAACAGGAAATAACAATCAACATTGGCAACTTTGTGGGACAATCTTTAACAGTTGATATGTTGTTCTTGCTCAAATAGACCTTCTGGTGAATTTATGAAGATTGAGAATGTCGTGACATGAATGCGTGTGTGAGTCTGATTTTGCTTCAGGAAGAAACAGGTGTCTGAGTGAAGTGATGGTTTGGATAAACTTAGGTCTTATCAGAGACCCTCTTTCGGATCCGGGCCGTGGAGGATGTTGTGGTTCATCCAGATGACACCGGCGGCTGACAGGAGACGTAGGTGTCGAACGGAACCGGTCCAGAGTTGCCCTCGGTACACGTGGATGGTAGAGCGTTTTGTCGATGCGCTTTCTTAAGTTAATTCACTCAGAAATCAAAAGACTCGGTAATGAGTCTGCGTTAGAAGTTGCGATTCAGCTATTCTGCCTGGCTTGGCAGAAACAGCGTGAAAGGGGGGAAGAACGAGCCAACAGGCTCTGCCCCCCCTTTGGTTTTCAGGTCTGTTCTCTTTCGTTGTCCAACACGAACTGCTATCATAAGACTGAAACTTACCAAAAACCTTTCTCTTCTCAAAGCAAACGTGTGCGTCATCAAATGTGTCTGGAGTTTACTGTGGGAAGATGTGTGTGGGTATGTGTGAATGTTTGTGTGTGAAGGTCAGCAACAAACATCCTCAACACTATCTAATTATGGATTCATTAAGCCATTATAATTACCCCAAAGCATAAGAACCATTCATTTGATTAAACACATTTATAGTGAGCAAAATGATAATGGTTACTTTAACATTAAAATCAAGAAACAGAAGTTTAAACTTTATGTTTTGACTTGGTCTGGGTACAACTCATGGAAACACATCTTCTGGTAGACTGCAGGTGGCTGATGTTATGGTTTCCTCCCAGACTCGCTGGCGTTCAGGTCTTAATCTGTGGGTGAAAGTTCTCAACGACCCAGCTTTGACCCAGCTGAGTCCAGCACCACCATTGTGACAGAAAACCCATATTTCCTCACGTTACAGACCCCCCTTTTTGTGACGACATGGTGGTCAAGCAGAGGCCACCTGACGTCACAACCACAATAACGTGATGCACTCGTGAAGGTAGACATCCCAGATGAAGGCAGGAACGATGAAGCATCTCCACAGGTCTTGTGTAGAAGGGAGTCTATCCTGATCAGATGATTAAGGCCAAAACTGTTGCAATCATTGTAAAAAAATCCACTTAGGGAATCTTGAAAGCAGAGCTATTTCAATAGCAGTTAATTTCATCAGCAATAATGCAAAGGTATTCAAAGGATAAGCAGCTCGTGTGCCACACGGAGCTGGGCAGGTGATGTATTCCTCAGGCGTAATCCAAGTGAAGTCCAGCGCAGACCTCGACCCATCTCGAACCACGACCGAAGCCCCATGCGACAGGAAACCAGTTGAAGGATGGTGAAGACGACCCCTCTGATGGGATGTAGTCCATACGAGCTCGGAGAAGGAGACAAAGTGAGACAGCCCACACGATAGATAGCATTTGATGCAAATCAAAGAAATCAATCAAAACCTATCTATGGGTACCTCTGGGAAAATGTGGATGCCTTTTGTGAATTATCTGAAGAAGAAATGTTCTGCACCCTGTTCTACATGTCATGTAAAAACGTGATGCAGAGAAAACACAAATAAAAGAAAGTAAATCCTAACTGATATGTGAAACTCAGCAGGCTGCACTAAGTAAAGGCATATATATAAAAGAAATAATCATGAAAATGAAGGGCAAATTGGCTTGTGGCCCTTGAAGGGAAATAGTAACAACATAAAATTAAATTTGTAATCAAATACAATCATGCTACACAAAGCACTAATAAAAAGATAGAGATGTAAATCAGTTCTAAAAATGTAAATCAGTAGGTTAGTAATCCCTAAAAATACGAGTTAGTAACAGGACCCTGGCTGGAGGCAGGTAACCTGAAAAAAAAAACTCAAAGGAAATCACATTTGTTAAAAATTCATCCCACAAACGAGAGAATTTGTAACGGTCCACCAGTTAGTGGAAAAGAATCCGGTCAGAATAGAGTTGGTCAGAATAGAGTTGGTCAGAATAGAGTTGTTCAGTAAGCGTTTTGAATCTGGTATTGCGGACCCACAGAGACACGAGTTTGGATGTATCTGTGGGAGCAGGCTCATAAGTGATTTGGTTATCAAACTGTTTGTATCTTGTGTTACGAACCCACAGGGAAACTTGTTTGAATTTACCTGAGGGTTCCGTCCGGAACTCGAGTGAAGCTGATGGTGTAATTGTTAGATCAGAACCTGATTTTACCTGCTCAAAGTTGGGTTGCAGCTTTACGGAGGCGACTTTGTTGTGATCAGAAATAGTAGTGAACTGGAAATGCGAAAATGATGCTCGCAAAGCAGGAGGAGGCTCCCCACCCCCCTTTTGTTTCTCAAACTTATGCCGTGTCTGTGAGACAGGAGAAGCATAACAAAGAACAGTTCTTAAGCTCTTAAAAGCCCTATTACCAAGAAGATGCACATTGTCACCTGAATCGTGCTGAAAGAGTAGGTGTTCAGATGTCCAAAGACCTGGAGGTGTTGGACTTGGAGGTTCTGAAAAGGAGTGATCCAAGGATGGTTGTGTCACGGGTGTCAAAGCAAACCTAGCCATGTTTAGAATATGACACAGACATGACACTATCGAAAGGAACATGTTCTGTCCTGAAAACTGAAGCCAAGAATACTTTATTCCCAAGAATGATGGAGGTGCCCACACAGAATCAGAAAAACCCGGTTTAACCAGAGTAGTCACAGACTGACTAAAGTTCCGCCCCGTAGAAGGTGCCACACCTATCTCCGGGTCGGAGGTCAATGTTGTCAGCTGAATTGGTGGAAGGTCAGTGTCGATTTCTGCAATGACCCGCCCGCTCGGAGGAGGGTTTCCCCCGAACAGCCTGAAGTCCGCAACGGAAAACTCAGTGCCACCCGGCACCCCCCTTTTGTCAGGAGGGGCCCCGAGCAGAGCATCACTGCACGCACCTACACCTCCCGGGCCGGGTGGCCTTCCCGAGCCCGTGAGAGAGGTGTGCGCAGCAACCACTGAGCCTTCTTCAATATCGCCGCTGACCACTTGACTACTGGAACCCGCAGGGTTTTCTGCGTTGTCGTGGTCACCTGTAAGAGAAATCACAGGAAATAGAACACAGAGGCCAGAGACTAAGTCACACCCCTGTGAAAGGAGAAAGGAATTGGCCACTGTATTAGCAGAGGTCACAAACTGAAAAGTGACAAGGTCATTCACATAAAGGTCTAGATGTCCGGGCACAAAACCCTTAAATGGCATGGTAGCTCCGTCCGGAGACCACAAGTGTTTCACGGTGGCTGACGTTTCCATCACGCCCCGATAAAGAAGCCGGTTTGTGCATGAGGCGGACTGACGAGTAAAGCAGACCTCTGACTGAAGCGGTGGGTCACAGCCTGAAGATTTCACACCCATGCTGGAGAGATGGTCAGCCTCTAACATGAATGACAGAGAAGAAGCATCAGGAACCAAAGGGTTAAGCACAACCTGTTCGTCAGAGAGGTTAACCATAGGCTCAAGAGATTTATTCAGCTTAAAAGCAGCAGAGAAAGTGTTGTTTATTTCAAACCTTGATATTGATGGTGGGTTTTTGACCCCCTGGAAGAAATAAAAGTAAAGAAAAAGCGTTATGACTGTAAACAGCATGTTGCTGGAATTCACGTCATGAATTGCAGACCAGAATCACCTCCGACCCAGTGCAGCTGGCACCGAACCGCTGCCACTAGTCCCCACCTTGCCCGACCGGCGGCACCCGCCTAAAACGGGCCCGTTCGGGCGGGCGGAGGGACCAGCGAGGCTCGGCCGGTAACCAGACTCCTGCGTCTTGGCATGTTCTGGAAGCAGAACGTCAGAGAACCTTACATCAGGTGTAACAGTGCAAGAAAGATTTTGTCGTGTCTCGTCCATCCCTCATTAAGTTCAGAGCAACTCGCGTTTTTACCTTCTGAGTCGACGTAGAACTCCGGGCAAATTCCTTAATTTGTCTCACAAACAAGGACTGTCCGTAGCTTACTTAACTTTATGACACAGGGTAAAACAAGGAATTGTTGATAGAGAAATGAATACACACAACTTCACAAGATGGAAGAAAAAGGCATGGAACCGAGCAACGGAGGCTGTGAAAGCCGACCCTTACCGGTCCAAAACAAAAGATAAAAAAAAAAAAAAACCCTACGCTGCCGAGATGTTATCAGACGGACAAACGTAGCAAACTGTAGATTCTACACACCGTAGTGAATTACAAGAATCACCGCCGATGCGGGTTTTGTGAGGACACAGACTGACTGTGTCAGAAATGGTTTGACAATTTAACGGGACGCGTTCCCTTTTTGTCCAACTGTGGGAGTAGCCCCTGGCTGCATCCCGGAGATCGGGGCGGGGCTAAATGTGGGCGGGGTTAAATGTTTAGAGGTGGGTGGAGACAACTATTTGACTCCTGCCCCTCTCTCAATGGAACCAGGAAACTGCGAGTAGCCCCTTTCTAAGGATTAGAAAGCCCTAAAAACCCACAAAACCCATGTAAAGCATAACATTGGTAATCAAATGACTTGTTTGCTGGATGTCATGATAATTTTAAAGAGCAGATAATTACAGGCGCCATTTTTGATCCAATCTGTTCTGATATTTTTATTCTTTTTTCTACTTTTGTATGGTATGTGTATTTATAGCACATAGGTATTTGTGTCTTTTAGCTATACTTTTGGTACCTCTATAAAAGGTTCAAGCATTTATAAGACTATTCTTTGAACCTGTCAAAACCATTTTAATAGTTAATTTTATCAATGCTGCCTTTATTTTAATAGTCATTTCCCAAGTGAGTGTAAAACAGTACAGACAGACACGGGTAA